CGCTTGGACCCTATGTGAATGTACATTTGGGCATACATAACGGATGGAAATGCACATGTGCACGTGTGCAGAGTATAGTCGCGTGCAGCAGTACGTGTATTTGGGTGTGCGCTTCTCCGGGCCAGAGGCTGCATTTGAGTATTTATGTTCATGGGGGAAGAAGACAGGGCGTTTGGCTCTTCATATGTATCCCTCACTTTTACCTCTTTTGGTACCTACTCCCATTACATCCACACGTTCCAGCTCCCGGGAAGTGTATCTTCCCTTTTAAGAGTTATGGTTCAGGGGACAGAACTCAGGACTTGAAGTCCAGAGACCTGGTATGTGGCCCTATCTCTGCTACTAGTTAGCCTTATAACTTTGAGCCAACCATTCCTGTTCTCTGAGCCTCATTTGCTTCGTCTGTGAAATGGGGTGCTTAGCCAGTCAAGTCTGCACTTAGAATTTAGGATTCCGGATTCCTGTCCCCCTGGTCCGTTCCCCCTGCTCTGACAATCCTCCCCTTGCTCATCCGTATCCACTGCTGTGCGCTGTGGGGGACGGAACACAGAGGACTTGGGACTCCTCAGCTCTGTGGAGGTCCCAGGAAGCTCTGAAGACAGGAAGACAGGTCTCCCTTCCTTCTGTACTCCAGGTTTCTGGTGAGGCAGCTTCAAGTATTGTAGAGCTTCTGGAATACAGTTTGAAAACCATGGATCTAAATAGGCTGATGTTCATTGCCTTGGTTTCTTAGAAAATTCCAAGGGTCCTTGGGGTAGCTGAAAAGGCTCTGGAGGGTATTGGTTTATCTGATGAGGATGCTGCCTCCTGGGGGAGAGGGCAGGGGGCCTACTTCGGGAATGGCGCTCACCCAGAGGAGCCCAGGCCCTGCTACCTGGAATGTCCCTGCAGCCTGCTTATCTGCGGGAGAGGGGACCTTTATGAGGCAATGGGCCTGGCCTACGCACCTTCATGGGGCTGAGCCTTCCAAAACCTCCCTGCTGCTCACCCTGTTGTGTTTCCGGGCCTTCCAGTGGGCACTCCCTGATGCACCTGGGCCTTCTCAGAGCCTGCCTGCCTGTCTGACTCCAGCACAGATGCAGGAGGTGACCAGAGGGCCTTCAGAATCAAACTCTCCCCAGAGCTGCACAATCTAGAACTCTGGCTCCCACTGGCTTGGGGGAGAAGTGACCCAGGGTCAGCATTTTGCTCCTCCATAGAAAGAAACCCATACTCCATAGACTGCTATTCAATGAATGCCCAGGACATTCCCCAAATAGGAATTAAATGGGCAAATGCCCGTAAGGCAGCAATTTCGCATCCTTTTCGTGTCCTGGAGCACACAGAAAACAAGAACGTGTGTACAGCTCCCAGAGGAAATAGAAGAGGATGCTTACGGCTACCAAGGGCTCTGAGGGACAGCACCTCGGTACGCCTCTCGTGGCTTCTGGACATATGAGCATGCCCCCTTGGGACGTGCACAGGTAAAGCGTTTAGCAGAGGGCCTACGGCAGTGGTTCTGAGCCTTGGCTACACACTACAATCCACCGGGGAGCTTTTAAAAAAATACTTTTGGCCAGGCCTCACCACAGACCAACTGTCTACTGATCTTGGTGGTGAGGCCCAGGCATGGGTACATTTTTTTTTTTTTAATAAATAAATAAATTTATTTATTTATTTGTGGCTGCGTTGGGTCTTCGTTGCTGCGTGCGGGCTTTCTCTAGTTGCGGCGAGCGGGGGCTACTCTTCGCTGTGGTGCGCAGGCTTCTCACTGCGGTGGCTTCTCTTGTTGCAGAGAACGGGCTCTAGGGCGCACGGGCCTAGTTGCTCTGTGGCACGTGGGATCTTCCCGGACCAGGGCTCAAGCCCGTGTCTCCTGAATTGGCAGGCGGATTCTTAACCACTGCGCCACCAGGGAAGCCCCCATGGGTACATTTTGAAAGCTCCCCAGGGATTCTGTAGCACAGGAGGGTTGAGAAGCACTGGCTCAAGACAAGGTGAACATTCAGCAAATGTCAGCTATTCACAATAAAAACTCCTTGGTGTCCTCGAATGTGCTGTTCTCCCTGCCTGCGCAGCTGGGCTGGTGTGGCTGGAGAGGGGTGGGGGCCAGGAGTCGCGGAGGGAAGTGCTGTTCAGGAGAGATGAATGCTGGGTAGGGCAGCCTGGCATCCATCTCCCTCAGCCACATCTCAGAAAACTGAATTAAAATCTATCTTTTTCAGCGGCTGCCTGCTTGGCTGGCTGGCTTGTGGAAGCGAGCTGAGGCAGTGTGCACCTCCGGGTAGGCAAAAGCTGTTGAAGAGACGCCCCAGCCTCCCACCCTAGGGGAAAGAAGGCAACTCAAGGGGTCCTCTGGAGGGAGACCATTCCCAGGGGTGGCCCCTCGGCCCCCCGTCTCCCTCGAGGCCAGGCAGGCGGGGTGAGGAGGGCTGTGGCTATCTTGGAAGAAGAAGGAAACTGTGGTCCTGCCCTTGGGGAGGCCCAGTCTGGGGCACCAGACCTGGCACAGCTCAGGGAGAACCAAGATTGTTTGGAGAGACCAAAGCCATGTGCCTGGATGGGCAGAGAACGGTCTGGGGCATGAAAGCCCAGCCTGCTCCAGCATGACGGGGGTAGCCCCCTAGGTAGAACTACACTAAATTGGGCACGTGGACACAAACTTTAGTCCCCAGTCTGAAAAGTGTGTCCTTGGGCTAGTCCTGTGGCCCCTTCGGGCTTGGGCACCTCATGCATAGAGAAGGGGACTAGCCAGCCTTCCTGGATCCCAGCTCTGATGATGTTCATTTCTGTGCCTCATCCAGGCTGATGCTACTAGGTACGGCTGGGATTAGAAGCCATCTGTAAGGACTGCAACACCTTGGAGAAAATTAGAGAGGTGCCCTGTCCAGGACCAGCTAGAAAAAGCACCCTTTTTGGTGGACTCTGCATGCCTGGCTTGGTGGGAAGGGGGCAGAGCAGGAGCTGGATTTCCACCCCTACCTGCCCCATGCAGGGAATGGACTGCACAGTGGGACCTGGAGCCCTGACTGACCCCTAGCTATGGTCAGCTAGGAGCCTACCCTCTGGCTAGGGGCCTTGCAGCAAAGGGAGAACAGGTGAAGGGAAGGGGTGTGAGGAGAGGACCGCGGGTTCATTCCTGTCCACTGGCTGCCCAGGCAGAGAGCAAGAGGTGCCCAACCTGCTCACTGCCCACACCAAGACATACATCCGGGACACAGAACAGAGGGCAGGGGATCCAGAGCCCAGAGAGGGACCTGGAGTATGGAAAAGAGAATAAACCTGGAAATGAAGGCTGACTCAGAGCCAAGGGTCCTCATCCGGCGGCCCGACCACTGACATTCCCAGGGACGGCTGGCCTGCTGCAGGTGACTCTGGTTTCCACCCTTCCTCACACTTTATGCCTCCAGCGTCCCGTGCTCCATGCTCCCCTCCCGACTCAGAGATTGCCGCAGCCCCTCCTTCCCCCTCACGACGTTTCACAGTTTACAGAGCCCTTTCACACACAGCATCTCATTTGATCTTCAGATACCCGGGCTGGAGACAGATGAAAGTAGGCTCCCAGGGGTCATGGCAACAATCTAGAAAGGGGTGTACCCAGGTCCAGAGGGAAGTCCTGTCCACCTTGTCTGTCTGACTCTAGCAAGGCACCAGGCCCTCTTCTTTCCAGAGGGGTCTCACCCTATACTGATACAGAGAAGAACTAACATTCTCCTCCTCCAGGAAGCTTTCCTGAACTGAAAGAAATGTGATCCGTGAAGACCAACAGTGTGGTATACAGAGGGGGGCAGGGTTCACTGCGCAGTAAAGAAAAATCATCAACTCACTGAGCGGACCCAGGGAACTCCTCGCATCTTTCCAGATACTCCTTTCAAGTTTTCTTATGGAGTCCTGCTTCATGCTCCAGTCCTGTCCTCCCCAGATGGACTAGAATTCCCAAGGAAAGGCTTAAGTCTTCTTTCTCTTCCCTCCTCCTCCTCGAAGCTTCCGCAACAAGGTGGCCACGCCCAAAACTCAGGCCCACAGGGAGGCTGAACAATGACTTGAATAAGGAAAGACAGAGCCTGGTTGCAGAACTGTGGATGGGGCTACGGAGGGAGCCTTGGGATGCTGACACCTGGGGTAGTGACCAGGAACCGTGAGCAGGGGCAGGTGGGAGCAATGAGCTGGCTGGTGGGAGTGGGTAACTGTTCTCTGTCGGGCTTTGGCTCCACCACCAACTGGCTACATTGTCTTGACCTGTTTAGTTCCCCGCACGAAGCCTCAACTTATCCATCTGTACTAGGAGGAGGCTGAGCGGTACTACAATAACAGTAGCCATAGCAATTAATTCATTAGTGAGGAAACAAAATCAGTGAAAACCTACTTTGGGATGTGTGTACCATTCTTGCTTAATGCTGTTGTTAAGAGGTGGGGGGTAGGTACTATGATTCCCACGTACAGGGAAGAAGCCGAGGTTCAGAGATGCCCAGTCCGCTGCCCCAGCTCACAGAGCTATAGCCCTGGCACAGCAGGACTGAAGCCAGGCAGTCTGACTCCAGAGCATTGTCATCTTAAGTTGCTGTAGGCCGCCCCGGTAAGGCCCCCACCTCCCTTTTCTGGCCATAGAGGCGTTTTCTAGGGGATCACATTTGAAGACATCCAGGCAGGCATCCTGGAGCTAGCTGACTTTCCCAGGCCAGGGCTGTGTGGGCAAAGAAAATCCCAAGGGGAGTCTGGGACTTGCCCTGTAAGGAAGGCTTCCTGGAGGAGGAGGAGCTGGCTCAGACAGGAAATCAGGAGGACGTGGCAGGGAGAAGGCAGAGGGTTTCTCGTTCTGGGTATCTCGGGAGGGTTGAAAGGAGGGCGCTGAGCCCCGGGGAAGGCCCGACGCTGAGCCCCGGAAGCCGAACTACAGAGGGGAATTGTTGCCTCCGCATCCTCGCCCCCAGGTCTCCGCACCGAAGCTCCTGCTCCCATGTGCGACGGGCGGGGTCCCGCTCCCCCCCATCCCCGGCCTAACCCCTCCCCCGGGCGCCCATTGGCCTGTACCCTACCCCCAGCCTGCGAAGTGCGCTGGGGGAAGGCGGTGGTCGCTCGCTTCCCTCCTGCCCCCGGCCTGGCTTCGCGGCGGAGGCGGCGCCTCTCCCGTAGCCCAGACCCAGCTGGGCGGGCGCGCGGCGCAGGGCGGGCGAGGGCAGGCGGGGGTCGCCGCGCTCGGGCCCCAGGCGGCGACTGACGGCGGCAGCGGCGGCTCCAGGCGAGCGCGGTCCCCGCGTGCGCACAAGCTCACTCCGCCGCGCAGGGACCCACGGATACCGGCAGCCGGCGGACACACGGACGCGGAGACCTGGGCTCGGCGCGCGCTGCTGAGCGCACACGCTCCCCGTCCTCGGGCGGCTCGGGGCGCGGACTCGCCGCTGCGCGCCCTCCGCGCGGAGTCTGCCCCGGGCCGACCCGCAGCCCGCGGCCCCGTGGCGAGGCCCCGCTGTGAGCAGGTAAGGGCCGCCCCGCCGCCCCTGCCCCTCTAAGCCCTGTCCGCCCTCCCCCGACTCCAGAACCTTCGCCCCTTGGGGACCGCGGAGCCCCTCCTCCAGCTCGGCTGTCTCCGCAAGCAGCGTCCTTCACCGACGGAGAGCGGGCCAGGGCCAGAGCGGGGCCAACCTTCCGAAACCTAAATGAAGCCGTCTCCCGCCGCTGCACCCATCCTGCGCGACTGTCTGATACCCTCCCTCTCGCCCCCCCTCCCCCGCCCTCCCAATATCTGGGATCATGCTCGGGGGCGACCGATCCTTGCAGCTCGCAGGGGGTGGGGTCGGCTAGCTACCTCGAGCCCCTCTCCGTGCCAGAAGGGAGGACCAGGGGCAGGGAAGGCACTGCGGCCGGAGGGACCCACAGGGACCTGTCTCCCTACTCCCAGGGCAGACGGACGCGGCTAGGCGAAGCTGGAGGGTCCCCAGGGGGCTGGGTACCGCAGTCCTCACGGGATTTGAGGGGTGGGCAAGCGATGTGCTGTGTACAGGGTGTTGTATGGGCCGGCGGAGAATGTCCCCCTGTAGTGACACCTTCGGGATCGTTCAGAAGA